CACCCTCTTCCAGCCGCTTTTATTCTTCAGTTTCTTTTTCCACCAAGAATCCAAAAGAATTACTAAAAAATCAAAATTTTTTAAAATGTAATTCTCTATAAACTCTTCCAGCTTTCTTATTTTCCAATACCACCATAAAAACCCTTTATGCCAATTGCTCATTAAGACTTTATTATTAAAACCCTTCTTAATTCTCGCCATACAGATCCCATGGACGTGAACCTGCCAGCCCTTTCTTTTTGCCTTCTTCCAATTATTAAATCCGATCATTCCCATTGATATTTTTTATTGGAATGTTCCATCTTTTACAAATCTCAGCATTCAATCCCAGCTAACCAAATTTGAGACCAAATAACTTCAATCTAATGTCATCCATGATTCTAAGAACTATAGAATCAATAGAGTTAGTTTCTTTACCAAATAATCTTTTATTTCTTTCATTCCAAAGATGATAAATTGTAGCTGCAAGAGCACACTTTTTTATAAAATTCTCAATATTCTTCTTTTTGAGGGTAACTTGAAGTTCCTGAACAATCTCGAACCAGTTACCATCCATATGAGTGATATTCAACTTTCTCTTCACCTTACTCCAAACTTCCTGGGGAATATTGCATTCAAAAAAAATATGACAATGGGAATCAATTTGGTCATTACAGAAAGCACATCTGAAATTACAATTATATTTCCACTTTTTCATTCTGTCTTGTGTTCTAAGTCTTCCAAGAATAGCCAGCCAAAGAATAAAACAATGATTAGGAATTCTCTGATGAAACCACACTAGATCATACCAGCCAGCTTTCATCTCATGAACAATAAGGGTCTTGAAAACTTGATTCACTGCAAAAGGAACAGGTTCTCTTCTCTTATTTATCCAAAAAACAGTATCCTTCTTTTCCCTTAAAAGTCTAGGGATAGGAAACTCTGCAAGCTGTGGTATACATCTAATCCAATCAATCGGCCAATTCCAATCGTCATTAGAAATCACATCTCTGACTTTATCCGTAATATGATAACCAGCATTAGTTATTTCCCTAGGAGTCAAAACGTAACTCAAGGGACCTAATTGATGCCAATTGTCATACCACATGAAAGTATTTTCACCATTTCCAATATGAACAACAAAAAAATCTCGAAAATAAGGTCTAATCTTCAACAATTTTCTCCAACTCCAGCTCATTTTGTCATTGAATCCTACATCCCAAAAGCTTCTTCCTTTTAACAAATAAGAATCCACCCATTTCACCCATAAGGAATCATACCCACTAATAATCTTCCATATCCGACTAGATAGAAGAGCAATGTTCCATTCACTGATATTTTTTAGACCAAGGCCTCCACTTTTTTCCGGTTTGCAGATCTCACTCCAAGAAACTTTAGCAATCCCTTTCCTGTTATCCCCACTGCTCCATAAAAAGTTTCTCATGATTTTCTCAATCTCATTTGTTATAGACTTAGGCAGCAACATAACCGAAGCCCAATAAACAGGGAGAGAGGAAATAACTGATCTAATCAGTTGAAGCCTTCCCGCATACGACAAACTTTTATTTTTCCAATTATTAATTCTCATCTTCACTTTTTCCACCAGTATTTTGCAATCTCTTTTAAATAGTCTCGTACAAATAAGAGGTATACCAAGGTATTTCATTGGAAATTTACCTTCAACAAACGGCAGAATATCAAGAATGGCTTTCTTAAAAGGCTCTTTAACATTCCCAAAAAAAATGTGGCTCTTAGACATATTCGGATACAACCCAGCAACACCCGCAAACTCATCCAAAGTATTCTTGATTATCTTGATCGATCTAACATTACCATGACAAAAAAGCATCAAATCATCGGCAAAACAGAGGTGTGTGATACTTTGGGCATGACATCTCCAATGGAACTTGAACCCTTCACTCTCCCTTATATTCCTTTTGATCATCAAATTAAAAACTTCCATAACCAACGTGAACAAGTAAGGCGATAACGGACAGCCTTGCCTCAAACCACGTTTTCCTTGAAAAAAGCCATGAAAATTTCCATTTATGTTGATCATGAAAGAGGATGTGGTAACACAGTTCATAATCCAAGAAATCATAGACCTGTGAAACCCAAAATGAACAAGGATGGACTGCAAAAAACTCCAGCTAACCGTGTCATAAGCTTTTTGTATATCTACCTTTAATGTACAACGAGCATAACCTCTTTTAATGTGGTAGCCTCGAACCAATTCTTGAGATAAGAGAATGTTATCCAAGATAGATCTACCAGGTATGAAGGCAGATTGATTATCCGACACCAAAAATCCAAGAGAGTCTCTTATACGATTAACAATTATTTTACTTATGCATTTGTAGATCACATTGCAACATGCAATTGGTCTATAATCACTAATTTTCCCTGGTGTCTGAACTTTAGGAACAAGGGCCACGACAGTAGCATTGATTTCCTTAAGAATTTTCAATTTGCTGAAAAATTCCTTAATAGCCAAACAAAAATCTTCTCCAACAATCACCCAGGCAGCTTTGAAAAATTTGGCAGAAAATCCATCAGGTCCTGGAGATTTATCATCATCAATATCAAACAAAGCAGTTCTAATTTCTTCATACGTAATCTCTTTCACCATATCCCAAGATTGAGAATGAGATAATTTGTTGGCAAAGAGATGCTCAGGCCTTGAAATTTTGTTACCATTATGCTCAACCCCAAGAAAATCCTGAAAATAGTCAACAATCTTTTTGCAAGCTTCTTCTCCTTCCCACCATTTTCCTTCACCATCCATGACAGTTTCGATTCTATTGCTGTTAATCTTTCCTTTTACCACTTTATGGAAATAAGAAGAATTACTATCTCCTTCTTTTAGCCACTGCACTTTAGCTTTCTGCTTTAAATAACTCTCTTCTTCTTCTCTGGCTTTGATAAAAGCTTGCAAATAACCACCTTCTTCATTTTGGATCTCACAATTAAAAGGATCCATATCAAGCTCCAATTGAACTCTATCCAATTCTTCTCTGCATTTTTGTACTTTCCCGCTGTAATTTCCTTGACTTGCCATCAACTTTCTAAGAGGGCCTTTTAACATTTTCAATTTTCGGCACAATCGAAACATATCAAAACCTTCAACAGGCATATTCCATATTTTAGCAACTGTAGAGAGAAAATCATCTTTCAACACAATAGCATTAACAAACTTGAAAGGTCTTATTCTAAACTTCTTTATAGGAAATTTAATCACCATCGGACTGTGATCAGAATTCCTATAAGGCTGGAAATTAACAAACACATTAGGAAATTCTTCAAAAAATTTAAAATTTCCCATCACTCGATCTAACTTCTTTAAAACCCCATTATTCTTTTTAGGTCTTTGATTCCAGGTAAAATGAATTCCATTTTTGTTTAAGTCTTGCATCTCAATATTATTCATGCATTCATTAAAGTCGACCATTCCCCTAGACAACACAGAACCTCCAGCAGTCGAATCAATCAACTCCTTAGTAACATTAAAGTCCCCAGCAATCAACCACGGAAGCTTATCAACAATCGAATTATGTTTCTCAAGATCATACCATAATCTTCTTCTATCCATGTGATAGTTACAAGCATAGATGAAAGAAGCGAAAAACCTTTTATTATCTTTGATGAAAAGAATTTTGCAGTGCATAACCTGATCAGAAGAATCAACAGGCATAACAACTAATTCTTCCGGATCCCACCCAATAATGATACGAATACCCTTATTGCTATACTCATGATTAGAAATCCACATCCAATTGCCATAAATCGAATTGCACACCCCTTGAAGCTTATCAAATCTGACTTGAGACTCTAGGATAACAAAGAGAGACAAATTATTGCTTCTAATAACATTTTTTATTTCCTCTTGCTTAGGCCTTAAATTTGTACCCCTCACATTCCAACAACCAAAGCAAACCGTCATTGATCAATATCTTGAATTTTGGTGTTTGACTCCTGGACACCACCAGTGATTACATCTTGATCCATTTCATCAAGATAAGACACATCCTTCAACCCCATATCATCACTTAAAACATCAAAAGGATTCTTAGAGATAAAACCCTCTTGATCTTCCTTTCCAGATGTAGACCCAATATGATCAAAATTTGAGCTTATTTTCATTTCTACATGCTTCTTCGGGACATACACTTTCTTTTTTTCCACTGCTTTCTCTTGTTCTTCAGCTTTCCTTAGATTAAAGTTATCAATTACATTCCTAACTTTGTCTCCCATTTTATTCTTTGGCAAAAAAACCCTGTCCCACTTGTTTTCCCATTTTTTCCTTCCTTTGACTGAAATACCCCTGCTTCCTTCCCATCTTTTTTGAGATTTCCAACTGCAAATTTCGAAAAGTAACCACTATTTTTCCTGTTACCTAACCCTGCATTGCTTTGCTTCTCTTTTTGATTACTTTTTTGGTTTCCTTGTTCTTCCACTTGTTTGCCTTTTTGCTTTTCTTGAACTCCAACTTCTTTTATAACTTCTTCTTTGTTTAAGACATTTGATTCTTCACTTACAGGAATCGAGTTCTTCTCCAAAGATTTAATTAAGTCAACATTGCCATTCTCTTGAATAACCACACCAGAATTAGCCTGTTTACCTTTATTGTTTTTCTTAGTAACCAATATAAAACCTTCCTCATCAACTTGATCTTTTTTCTTGTTTTCTTCTGTATCCACAGCTCCCTCTCTTTTATTTTCTAAATTCATACTATTTAAGATCCCACAGTTACTATTTTTATGCCCATAAGTTTTGCAATGAGTGCAAACATCTGGCATCCAAGCGTATTCCACCCGGCATTTTGATTCAACTTTTTCTCCTGATCCAAAATCAGTTGAGACTACATTAATTTCTTTTAGCCAAACAGATTCCACTGACATTTCCACCAAAAATCTCATAAACGCAGGTCTACCCCAATGCTCATTGCACATTTTTTGAGTAATCTTGTCCATACTAATTGGCTTCCCAATTTCATTAGCAATTAAAGTGATTCCCTTGTTGTTCTAATACTCCAGGGGAACATTAAAAACTTTAACCCAAACCGGCACTGAACTAATTTGTGGTTTGCTTAAAACTAGCCCAGGCCTCCATCTTTGAATGAATAAAGGCACATTATTGATGAGCCATGGCCCTCCTTCCAGAACACTTGTCATGCCTTCCTTAGATTCAAATTTAAAGAAAAAGAATCCTTCATCATTCACCATTATGTCCTTCAAACCAAAGGCCTTCCACATCTTGAAAGTAAAATGGTTAACAGTAAGAAAAGCTAATTTCTTACCCACAAAAAAACCATAGAGAGTAGCATGATATGGAGCTCCTCCTAACATCAAATCCGCGTATGGTAATTCAACTTTACCAATAGGTTTCCCATCAGCTTTAGGGATTACTTTGATGTTAAGGTCAACCACACTATTAGAAGAATCAACCATTCTAGCATAAGACTTCTTGTTATATTCACTAACCAATTTAGCTGCTGTAGACAAACTTGGATTCAAAGAACTATCCACAATCTTTGGATCTTTATCCCATTTCAAATTCAAAAAATTACTCCCCTGTTCTGTTTTTAGATTCATATCCTTATTCATAGATTTATCTCCCTGTTGTATGTTTGATATATTTTCATTCTCATCATTCAAATTGGAACCCTCAATATTAGAATCATTCATAACAGCATCATTCAAAGAACTATCCACAGAACTCGCAATCACAGGGGAAATATTTGGAAATTTACGTGAATTCATAAGGATTGAATCTGAACCAGGGAATACATCTGACTTCACAAAAGTAGGAGGCAATGTAGCATTAGGCACAGAGCTCATAGGATTAATCCCAAAAATACCCTTCTCTTTGCTCACGTCATTCCCAGTTTGAACAGTCCCTGGATTCACCTCTTCACTCGCTAAAATTGACGAGTTATACCCTTCCACCATATCCGATGTAGCTTGGATCAGCACAAATCCCCTTTCCTTTACTAACTCATTTATTGTTTTGCAATTCTCATCAGGAAAAAAATGAAACTTGGAATCAATAGTCTGCCCGCTTTTAATCGCATTTTCCATAGCTTCCAGTTCTGAGTCAATGAAATTCGGATCAATATTCTCATTTCCATAACAAGACTTGATAACCTCACGCACACCAGCTCTTAAACCAAATATCGATCCATCCTTATAGTTTTTCGAATCCAAATATTTCATCTCCATTAAATTCCGATTAATTTTCAATTTAATTTTCTCCTGCAACCGAAGAGGTTTATCTCCACAGTATGGTGAGTAATCCTTATAAACAACCTTTCTTCCTCGTCGAACAGCACCTGGTTCAGCATCGAAATCTTCCTCATAAAGTTTTTGACGATCTGGATCAGGGGGATCAGACTTCTTCATTCCGAACATATTTCCAAATTTTCCGAACATCACTTCTCCGATCACACTAACGATTGATGATAGTTACAGAGTAAAATCCGATCAAGAAAGGTGAAATTCCGGCACCGGAAAGAGGTCCGATCAGCCAGAATCCCAACCAAGTCACTCACGAAAACTGGAACAAACGAGAGAGAATCCTAGAGAGAGAAAGTTAGAGAGAGAAAAATTTTAGCAAATGACTTGGTTTGGGTTTAGGGTTTTGGGGTTTAGGGTTTAGGGTTTTTTTTTTTTTTTTTTGGATAAAAGGGGAAAACCGCCCAAAGGGAAGAGGGCAACCGCCCAAAAAAAAACTAACAACAAAACCTAACAACTAAGCTACAAACCTAAAACACTAAAAACACGAAAGCGACAAAAACCTAACTAACAAAACCAACCAATCCACTTCCATGTCCAACTCCAAAGCAAGGAGTGAAACCAAACATAACTTCCTAGGAAATAAACAATAAAATCAAAACCAAAAATCTTCCATCTCGCAAAATCTTCAAAATCTTCAATCTTCATGTAGCTTTTAATCCTCCACCAAGTCAAAACCCAAAAAATGGCCTCATACTCAAACAAATAATCCAAGGTTTGAATAATGCTAGTCTTCCAATACTTCCAAGGAGCTTCCAAATCAAGAGAATCATTGGCCAATTCACTCAAATCATCAATAGCTTTCAAAGTTCTCCAAACCAAACTAAAACCGAGAATAGCAATCAACTTTGAACTGTGAACTTTACTCTTCATGCAATTCTTCCCGATCTTCTCCAAAATGTAATTATTAAACTTCTTCCCAATCTTCACTTTAAAATCCAATAAGCTCCAATAAATAATCCCATTATCCAACACAAAATCCTTGAGACAATTCCTAAAAAATCCTTTTATGTCTTCCACAAAATTTCCGATTTCCTCTTTAGCTAATAAAAGAGTCTTCAAAATCCAAGAAAGTATGATGCTAAAACCGATATATCCCAATAAATCCCACCATTTCCAAATCATCTTCAAATTGTCTTCAACTTCTTTCTTGCCCAAACTAAGCCAATTAGTCTTCAACAAATCTTTCAATATAATAATCCAAGTATTCCAAAAGTGCCCTTGAAGAAAACCCCATCCTCTAGCAAATAAGTAGCTCATAAACACAATTATACCACAATCCTCAAGATTAAAAAATTCCAAATCGCCAACTTTCTTCTTAGGAATCAATCCAAAGATATGAAACCCGTCAATTCCTTTTTTAATGGGAATATTCCAAAAATACCCCTGAAGGTTAATCCTTAAAAAATTAAGAATAGAACCTCCAAATTCCACATCAAAGGTAAAAAAAACCAATGATAACCGGGATGGACCGATTTGCATTAGAAATTTTGTAAAACCAAAGAGAATGTAAGGTCCAAAAGTGGTTGTTTTTATGTAAACAAGGGAAACAACCAACCCAATTGTGGTACAGTCTAAGGTTAACGTATCCAATCCAGTGTATTGACGGGTAAATATCCCACCACTTGCTAATCGAACTAGCAGTGGCACCCACTAAAGTGGAGATTCCTAGTTGCCTAGGAAGAAATTTCCAACTAACGGGGATCAAACCCGTTTGCTTTAAAGAATTGACCACTTCAAAGGAAAAAAATCCAATGAAATCTGGGATAAACCAGAAAGCAATTAGCAAAAAAGGATCCATAAGGCTCCAAAAGTGGTTGTTTTTATGGTTACAAAGGAAACAACCAACCTGTGAGTGGTACAGTCTAAGGTTAACGTACCCAATCTCGTGTATTGCTGGGTGAATAACCCACCACTTGCTAATCGAACTAGCAGTGGCACCCACATAAGTGGAGATTCCTAGTTGCCTAGGAAGAAAGCACCAACTAATGGGGATCATACCCAAATGCAATAAGAAAAAAATCCACTTCAAAGGAAAAAATTCCAGTGAAATCCGGGATAAACCAGATAGCAGTAACCATACAAATATACCATAAAGCCATAAAGTGGTTGTTTTTATAATTACAAAGGATACAACCAACCCAATTGTGGTACAGTTTAAGGAAAACGTACCCAATCCCTGGTATTGACGGGTAATTATCCCACCACTTGCTAATCGAACTAGCAGTGGCACCCACCAAAGTGGAGACTACAAGTTGCCAAGGAGGAAAACAACCAATAATGGGGATAAAACCCATTTGCAAGTTGAGAACCACTTCTAAAGGAATATTCCTCAAGAAAATCGGGATAAAACCGATAAGCAAAACAATTTTTAAAGGAAAATTGTTAAACCCAAACCCATCAATTCCTTTAATCATCAAAAAGATCATGATTTTTCTCACCAATCGGAACACCCCACTTCCTCTTTACAACATTATCAAATCCCAAAAAAACACCTTTGAGACCAATAAGCTTTAAACGAATTTCTTCAAAGATGTTTAAAGCTATTTTCATCTCCTCAAACTTTCCATTTCTAAAAAGCCTGCAGTTTCTTTCTCTCCAAATGAAATAAACAGAAGCAGCAAAGGCAATCTTCATGATAAAAACTTGGATGCTTTTCCCTTTTAACAAATCTTGAAATTCTTCAATTAAATCTTTCCATCCTTGAGAATTACTAGTAATTCCCACTTTATCTTTCACCAGTTTCCAGACAAGAGAAGAATACGAGCATTCAAAGAAGAGATGGTTATGCGAGTCAGGCTGCATATTACAAAAAACACACTTGAGATTCTTATTTTTATCCCAAAATCTCATTCTATCCTGAGTCATCAATCTCTCCTGGATAGCAAGCCATAAAATGAAGCTAAGCCTAGGGATACATTGTTTGAACCAAACAAAATGAGCCCAAGGAACCTTCTGACCACAGAAATTTAGGTCACTCCAAACTTGATGAATATCAAATTCAACCACTTGACCATCCCTTTTCCTCCATAAAACTCTGTCAGCCACCATTGGATCAAGAATCGGCAAATGATAATCACTCAATTAAGGAATAAGAATGAGCCACTCAGAAGGCCAGAACCAAGAATTGTCCACAATAACATCCTTGACCTTGTCAGAAATTCTGAAACCAGCGCTAGTAATCTCTCTAGGAGAGAAGACATGAGAGAAAGCACCTAATTGATGCCAATCATCATACCACATAAAAGAGTTAGCCCCATTCCCGATCTTGGTAAAAAAATGATTTCTAAATTTGGTTCTCAATCTAATCAAGTTCCTCCAACTCCAGCTAAGATCCTGTTTTTCCTTAACATCCCAAAAGCTTCTACCTTTAAGAACATGAATGTTTATCCATTTAACCCACAAGGAATCAAAATTAGATAAAATCATCCATATTCTCTTGGATAAAATAGCTTTGTTCCAAACTCTAAGATTTTTGAGACCCAACCCCCCATACTCAACGGGTTTACAAATGGAAGACCAGGATATTTTAGCTCTTCCCTTCTTGGATTCATCATGGTCCCATAGAAAATTATTCATCAATTTCTCAATTTCCTTAGTGATAGAGGCCGGAATAAGGAGACAAGAAGCCCAATAAACAGGAAGGGAGAACAAAACCGAAGAGATGAGCTGAAGTCTCCCCGCATAAGAGAGATATTTGTTTCTCCAATCACCAATTCTGCATCGGACTTTATCGATAAGTCTTTTGCAATCACGGATAAACAATCTCGTAGAAATGAGGGGAATACCCAAATATCTCATTGGAAGCTTCCCTTCAACAAAGGGAAGAGTGTCAAGAATTTTCCTCTTAACATCAGCCTTGACATTCCCAAAAAAAATATGGCTTTTAGAGAAATTGGGGGAAGACCAGCCACCTTAGCGAATTCATCAAGGCTGTCTTTTATCACTCTGACAGAGGATTTATTTCCATGACAGAAGATCATTAGATCATCCGCAAAACACAGGTGCGTGAGTTTAAGTTGCTTGCATTTCCAATGATACTTGAACAACGGTTCATTCCTTATTCTTCTTTGAAAAATCAAATTAAAACTTTCCATTACCAGGGTAAAGAGATAAGGAGATAAAGGGCAACCCTAACAGAGACCTCTTTTTCCATCAAAATATCCATGAAAGGATCCATTCATACTAATCATATATGAGGGAGAGCTCACACACTGCATGATCCATTTTACCATCGCCGGATGGAATCCAAAGTGGAAAAGAATATTTTGAAGAAAAGACCAATTCACCGTGTCATACGCTTTTTGGATATCCACTTTGAGAGCACATCTAGAATAACCACGATCTCTGTGATAACCCCTAACCAATTCTTGGGATAGGAGAATATTGTCAGTGATGGATCTTCCCGGAATAAAAGCAGATTGGTTATCCGCGACAATAGAACCTAAATGATTTCTTAATCTTCCAACAATGATCTTACTGATGCATTTGTAAATGACAGAACAACATGAAATAGGTCTAAAGTCACTCACTTTCCCAGGAGAATTAACTTTAGGGACTAAAGCAATGACAGTAGAATTTATTTCCTTGAGAATTTTCCCATTAGCAAAAAATTCCTTGACAGCCAAACAAAAATCCTCTCCAATAATAGTCCACATGGATTTGAAGAATTTAGGCGAATAACCATCCGGTCCAGGAGCTTTATCATCATCAATGTCGAAGAGAGCAGCTTTAATTTCTTCATTTGATACAATCTTGACCATCTCA